TGGTGGAAACCATTCGCTAGGTCCAACGTCGTAAAGTACTGAGCTTTACCTAGTTTATCTAAAATATCAGAGATGTTGGGTAACGGGTACTTGTCTTCAATTGTTTTGTCGTTAAGTTTTCGGTAGTCAATTACTATTCTCCATTTTCTTGTACCAGATGCATCTAGCTTTTTTGGTACTATCCAAATTGGGCTAGACCATGGGGAATTAGATGGTTGTATTATACCATTTTTCAACATCTGGTCCATTTGGGTGCTGACTTCCTTCTTATGAATCTCAGGGTATCGATAAGTCTGTGTAAAAATAGGTGTTTCATTTGTAAGATTGATTTTATGTTTGATTTGATTCGTAAAAGTCAATGGAATACCTTCACAGTAAAATATGTCTCGGTATTCGTATCAAAGATCTCGAATCGCTTGATATTCTTCTTAATATTCTTGATTACAGTGGTCTAAACGTAAGTTCTTCAAATTTTGTTTTAGTTTCATATCATTTGGTTGATTTACTTCGATATCCATATCGGTTTCCATTTTCTCGATAAAATTATTTTCAATTTCGTTTATAGGTTCCACTTCAAATGGTTCTGTGAAACTAATTTTTATTGGGTTTTCACATAAATTCGTAATTGTTGTCAATGCAAAATTACTTTCAATTTTTACCAAGGCTTCTGGCATTTCTGCGATATCATCAAAGTTAATATGGTTTAGTATTCCTATTACATCTGTTTTGTTTACAGGTACTTTAACCTTTTGTGAAACACGAGGAGGTATAACAGTTTCATATGACTGTGTGGGCTCCGTTGTGTTTTGTGGGAAAAATAATTTGTTTTGAAAATGCAAAGGTAAATTTACTTGTGACGTTTCAAGTGCAAAATTCTTTAGATTTATTTTGGCACCGATATCGATTAGAAAATCGACACCTATCAAACCGTCGAATTTATTAGAGAAATTAAACAAGTAAAATTTGTGGTAACCATTTTTTTTTAAATGATGGGAAAATGGGTATATTTATGACTTCGTCATGTATTGATGTTGCATGAGCAGTTTTTACAGTGAAAAATTCATTAGAAATGAATTGAGAGTAAACTTGATATGCTAATTGCGGATTGATGAAGCTTTTTCCGCTGCCTGTGTCGACTAAGAATTTAGCATTTAATTCGGGGATAATTATTACAGGCAAATCTGAAGTACTATAATTGTTGAGGCATATTACGTCACATTGGGGTAATTGGGCGTAATCTGAAAATGTTGGTATTGGGAATCATCGATATTTGTCTCATAGTCATTATTGGTGTTGTCATACATGTTGTACATATAATCATATGGAACATTGTAGGAGTTGAACATTTCAGAATTTGGCATTTGATAATAATTACTGAAATCGAATTGTTCGTCATTATTGGGAGTAGAATTAACGTCAATATTTGGGTCTTGAGTTTGAGTTTCGGTGATAGTATTAGGGGACAAAGTATTTACTGATTGGTTCGAAAGTTCTTGCACAATGAAATTGTTCAGGCGTGATCTTTGAACCGTATTTGGTCTTATAGTGACAACAGACGATGTGTCCATTGGTTCTGGAGCACTATTGTTTTGGGTCTTTGGAATGGTCTATTGAAATTATTGAAATTTTGAGGTCTTTGGAATTGGTTATTGAATGGCATATTTGGGAAATTTGGTCTTGCAAAGTTTTGGTTGTTGAACGAATTATTTGGTCGATAGAAAGGATTATTATTGAATGGTGCTATAGGCATTCTTGGAATATTAGCAGAATAATTTCCAGGTGTATTGTTAAAACTTGATCGAGGCTTACTTTTATTATCGACGTTGTTACTAGGTATATTTCTTGAGCTTTGATTAGACCTGTTTCTATATTGTATGAAATTCTCTTCTTCTCGTACAAATGCGAGAGTTTGTTCAAGAGAATCTGGGTCTTTTAATCTTACCACTAACTGCATATGGTAATTTAAGTTGTTAATAAAAGTTTTTAGACACAGATTATCAAATTGTTCGATTTTAAGAATTTTCATGTTATTAGGATCGTTTGAGCTATTAATTTTAGCAAATAACAGACTTCTAGAGTCTTGCAATTTTAATCCAAAAGAATGTAAGGATTCGTTCTTATCTGGTTTCATATTAATGATATCTTGGACAAGACAATCTTCAGTTCTTTGGTCAGAAAATGTGACAATTAACGAATCTTTAATTTTCTGCCAGGTATCGAGTTCCGTGCGAGAAGCAATTAATTCGGCAGCTCTACCTGTCAATTTACAAATTACCGTATCGAACAAACAGATGTTTATTGGATCTGCGGCATTTTGTCGATTTTGGTGATTCTGTAGAAAATGTTCACATGATGTTAAAAATCTGCCAAGTGTTTTGGTGTTACCATCAAAATTTGGAATATTATCGGCTTTGTATCTAATAAGCTGATAATTTGGGTTGGCCATATTAACAAGATTTTGAATCTGATTATTAGGTTGAAAATTATTGTTAAAAATGTTTATAAGATTGTCAAGCTCGTTATCACGTTCCAGATCGAACAAATATATACCAATAAAATCAAAAAATATAAAAATAAAAGGAAAAGAATAATGGGATCACTTACAGAAATACCAGATTGATCTTGAAGTACATGAATTTATCTTCTATGGATTTTGGACGATGTAGTTCCGCTATCCGCACCAATAGGATTAATGGACGATTTTTGTTCCGATCCCTGGTCGCGAGTTCACTGATTGTCAAAAGTTTTTCGTATACCACGAATGTATTTTTCGATTTGACGGTAAATCGTTAGCACGAAAAGACGATGGTTTTTTATGGCCCGCAAAATCCAAATTTTCGACTTAACCGGACTGTTTTTACCGAAGTCTCCGTCAAAATCCTACCGACTGCGCCACTTACGAGGGGTGTACACGAGAGAGCGTTTTTAAAAAACTTTATTTGACATAATACAATAGAACTGCCTTAAATCTAAAAATTACTCCTTTTATAATAGTAGTGTATGATGGTTCGTTCACCATCCTCCGACGCCTCCGACGCCTCCGTGACGTCTGCGCATGCGCCAACCAGGGCGTCGCAACGCCGTGATGTCATCAGTCAGCTGTCAGTCAGCTGTCAATGTCATCTGTCAATGTCATTCACCTGTCAATGTCACCTGTCAATGTCAGTGGTCTGTCAGTCAGCTTTCAATGTCAGTGAGCTGTCAATGTCATCTAACCCAATCTACCTGAACTACTCCAACTTACCCGAACTGCTCTCTGATGCGCCATCTATAAACCCCGTATAACATTACACCTGTGTGTATTTTTTATATTTCTACATGTATTTATACAGATGAAAAAATATGTGAAATTAAACATGCATAAATACATGAAGAAATATAAAGAAAATAGACAGATGGGCTTAAGAAAAAAAAAATACTAACCTCAAACAATTTTTTATTTAAAAACATACATTTTTTAAGACTCAACTATTTCAAAAAGCGATATTTGGTTTGGTCGTCCTACATCCTTCTGGCCTCTGTATATTATTGAATATTTTCCATCCATAAACTGCTCAATATGACCTTCCAATGATTTGGTGGTACGTTTTGGAAGAAACACTGCCTTATCGTCAAGTTATATGAGGATGCTCGGTCCGAATTTACTTTGGGTTTTTTTAGCAGAAAATATTGGGTACTTTCTGCCAGGCTCCATGTCTTGTAATTTCACAAGTGTTTTTTGATCCTTGAAGAGGCAGGTCTCGTTGATTGATTTCAAATCCATATCTAAAAAATATTCTGTAGGTATTGATATTAGTATATAAAAGATTTACTTACTTGTTAAAAAAAAAATGTTGTGCAATAATTTTATAATAATTATAATGTTCGCTGTTGACGAGTTCAAACCAGACTGAAGCTCGAGTATCATAAAAACCGATTTAAACCTCAACGTACATACAATAATAATTATTTCAGCAGTGTTTGTTTATCTTACAATGGCCTTCACACGGTTCCCAGTACCACAATCGGACAAAACGCGTCGCAAAATATTTATCATACCAAGGTCGTAAGACGTAAACAACGCCGGTTTCACGGAAAATGCAATATCCAATTAGCAAACTTTCGCAGACTGAACTCGTAGACTAAACAATAAATCCGGTGCTGAAATTTTTATTGAATAAATTGATAATAATAATTGCTTATACTGAGGAGAGTCCATCACGACTTCATAAGGAAGGTATTTATGTTTATTTGGATTGCTTAGAACAGAGAACATCACTTTCCTGCTAGGTATTACCAACAAAATCAAGCATATGAACCTATAAATGTTGTGTTGTGTATTTTTGTTGGTGATTACTTTTAATATCAATATTTTTAGTACGGTAAAGTGCTGTTCTGTGTTTTTTTTTTTTAATATGATGATTCAAAGTTTATTCTCCTTGGCGTCACTATAATTAGAACAAACAAGTTTGCGCTTCCATTCGACCGCAGCCAGTTGGAGAGGCAGCAGCATAGCAGCAGCAACAACAGCATTCAATACTAATTTTATTTTATTGTGAGTGATTGTGTCGGTTTCAAAAAACAGTAAGTACTATTTTCAAATATCAAAGTAATTTTTTGATTGTCTTGTGTTTGAAAAAATTATCTTATGTAGGATAGATTTTGCCTTTAGACATATTTCAATAAACTTTAGATATTTTTCAATTTTTAATTAACACAAACCTCGATTTTTTTTTAAATTATTTTGATTTTCATTTACACACAAACAAATTGTTTGTGTTTTTTTTTAATATTACATAAAACCCTAAGTAATGTATGGTTTTAAATTTATTTCCAATAGTTTTTTTTTTAAACAACTTGAGTTTCCTTTTTCACTTACATTTACACATAATTCAAATATCTTTTTCTAAAATTTAGATTGGTACTTTAAATAATTTAAACTGGTTTTATTTTTTCATTCATTTTAAAACAAACCTCCATAAACAGCGGATTTTTAATTTCGTGAATATCTGCTTCAGGAAATGTTTAGCTGCGATTTCTGTACCAAATCGTTCACCAGGAGGAATAACCTGAAACGTCATGGGGATTGCCGAACATCTGCCAGGATCTGCAACCAATGTGGTGGGATTTTCAAATCGGAGGGGGCTCTCTAACGCCACCTTCAAGAAAAACACCCAGCCCCAAACGAAAGGCTGGAGATCCCGCCACTCCCATGACGAAGCAAGCTAGACTTGACCAAGTTGCCGGTAAGTTAAGATTAAATATTTTTTTTCTTTAAAATCTAATTTAATTGTTTTCAGGACCATCAACATCAGCCACAGGCCGGTGGTGCGAGGATTGCGACTTGGAGACTCCGATAAATCAATGGGCTGGTCATCTTCGGAGTCTCCAGCACCGAGCCAACACCTGTGTGGAGCAGGAGGAAGACGTTAGTCTTGTCAAAACATCTTTCAAGAACCGAATTGCTACATACCGGCTTTCTTCAAAGCAGGACTCTACCAGCGTAAAGCACTTTTTGGGAAATTTCAAAGTGAAATTCGTCAAGCTGGTAGGGGATATGGTCAATAAATTTGGCCATATCAAAGTCGGTGTGGAGCTTTTCGGACGCTTCCTCCTGCAGGCGAAAGAGCAAGAAGAGGTCAAGTCGTTCAACGCCAAATTCCGACTGGTGAGCGATGGTGCAGATCTGGAGGAGCTGTTCCAGCAGTTTTCTGTCATCCTGGACAAGAAGTCCACAGAATTTCAGGAGAAAGAAAGTGGTATGTATTATTTCAATTGCAATTTTATATGCTAAATAATGTCTTTTACAGGCTGGACGCTCCAACAACTCCTCCATCTAGATATAAGTATTAATAAGGTGAACCCTCTAAAAGCCTCTTCATATCTGCCGCTTCCAAAACTGATCGATGCGAAGAAAGCTGTCCTAAACATACAAAATAGCGATCAGAAATGTTTCATGTGGTCGGTCTTGGCTCACCTACATCCTACCTACTACTACCTACATTGGACTCAAAATGCAAATAGAGTCGCGAACTATATGCCTTTTGAGAACGAGTTGGACTTTACAGGTATGGAATTTCCGATTAAACTTAAAGACATTAGCAAGTTTGAGCAGCTCAATAATATTTCCATCAATGTTTATAGATTAGATAGCGCCTATGAAAATGGTAGAAATATTATTGAAGTTGTTGGTCCCTTATACTTTACTCAATCTCGGAAAGCGAATCATGTAAATTTGTTATTAATCAGTAATGATTCTGGTGATAGTCATTACTGCTTAATAAGAAACATGTCTCGCTTGATCTCAAGTCAATTATCTAAGCATCATAACGTTAAACATCTTTGTGATGGCTTTTTGGTGTATTTTTCAACTGAGCAAAAATAGAAAGCTCATCAAGAATACGATTGTGCCCATGTTAAATTACCAACAACAGATTTAAAGAAAAATAAATACGGTGAAGAGGTTCCCGAGAATATTCTGAAGTTTATAAATTTCGAAAAGAAATTAAAGGTGCCTTTTGTTTGCTATGCCGATTTCGAGAAAATCATTGAACCTGTTGATGCAGAGGAAAATAAGCTGGACCCCGAAAATTCCTATACCGTTAAAACTCACAAGGCTGTTCCTTATTCTTTCGCCTACTACATTAAATGCGATTTCGACGATTCTCATTCGATTTTCAAGACTTTCAGAGGACCTGATGCGCATAAAGTTTTTGTAGAATGGTTAGAGGCTGACTGTAAATCAATCTATAATCAATTTATAAAAAACATAGTGCCTATGCATCCTCTGAGTCAAAAACAAGAAAATGAGTTTCGCAATGCGGAAAATTGTCATATTTGCGAGAAACCATTTAAAGTAGAAGACGAAAGAGTAAGGGACCACTGCCACTTTACAGGTAATTTCCGCAGCTCACTCTGTATGTAACCTAAATTTTAAAACCCCAAACTTCATCCCCATCTTCTTTCACTGTATGTCCAATTTTGATTCTCACCTGTTTGTCAAGGAGTTGGCCCAAGAAAACGAGAGATTGGATGTTATCCCTCAAAATAAGGAGCGGTACATTTCATTTACCAAACATGTTTTGGTGGATAAAATCCCTCTCGATCAATCAGGAAAACAAAAACAGGTATTTTTAAAATTACGCTTCCTCGACAGTTTTCGATTCATGGCATCAAGTCTCAAAAATTAAAACCAGAACAGTGTCGAGAAGTTAGAAAAAATTTTCCCGCGGAAGATGAGTTTCAGATTATTCGTCAGAAGGGCGTTTTCCCGTATTCTTACGTAGATTCATTTTCGAAATTAGATGACATCAAGCTCCCTTCTATAACGATCTTAGAAAAGAAGGCATCAAGCAGGAAGATTACAAGCGTGCAAAGAAAGCATGGAACTTGTTTAAATGTAAAACCTTGGGTGAATATTCAGATATTTATTTAAAATCCGACGTTTTGATTTTAGCTGATGTTTTTGAAAATTTCAGTGACGTGTGTCAAGCAACTTACGGTCTAGATCCTTGTCAGTACTATACAGCTCCAGGGCTAGCTTTCGATGCTGCTCTCAAAACAACAGCTGTGGAGTTGGAATTACTGACAGATATAGATATGATACACTTCCTGAAACGCGGTATTCGCGGAGGGGTCAGTCAATGTAGTGTACGGAAGGCTGTCGCGAACAATAAATTTATTCCCCATTATGATGCTTCCAAACCTACTTCATACCTCATGTACTTGGATGCTACCAACTTGTATGGTGCAGCCATGTCTCAATATTTACCAACGGGTAATTTTAAATGGCTTGACGCGGATGAAATTCAAAATTTAGATTACCTAAAATTAAATAAAAATTCAGAAACTGGTTATATTTTCGAAGTTGATTTAGTATGCCCGGAAGACCTACATTATAGGCATAATGAGCTACCTTTTTGTCCAGAGTCCTTTGCCCCTGAAGGTTCTAAAATCAAAAAACTTATTCCAAATTTCAACCGAAAAGAAAAATACGTCATTCATCTTCAAAATTTGCAGCAAGCCTTACAACATGGCTTAAAATTAGAAAAAATTCATCGCGTTCTCACTTTCAATCAATCTCCCTGGCTTAAAATTTACATTGACCTAAACACAGCCAAACGGAATGCTGCTTCCAGTAAGTTTGAAAAAGATTTTTTCAAACATGAATAATGCTGTGTTTGGGAAAACCATGGAAAACGTGGAAAAAAGGGTAGATATCAAGCTGATTACCCATTGGGAAAATATTGGTAGGAAACTGGGGGCCGAAGCATGGATTTCGAAACCACATTTTAAAGACGTCACTATTTTTGGTGAAAATTTAGTTGCTATTCATATGGCTAAACAGAAAGTGATATACGATAAACCTATTTATGTAGGATTCGCTATCTTGGACATTTCCAAAACAATCATGTACGATTTTCTGTATAGCTATATTCAGAAAACTAAATATGGAAATAAAGCAACCTTACTATATACAGATACCGACTCCCTCATTTTAAATGTAGAGACACCAAATTTTTATCATGATATGAAAGAAAATTTAGACAAATTCGATACTTCCAATTACTCACAGGACAACCCACACGGTATTCCTGTAAACCAGTCCATTTTAGGTAGAATGAAGGATGAGTATGCAGGAAAGATCGTGTGGGAGTTCCTTGGAACCGGAGCGAAGGCGTATTGTGTTAATGTGGAAGGAGACTTGACTAAAAAAGCCAAAGGCGTGTCTGACTAGGTCACCAAGACAGAACTTAATCTTGAAGACTACAAGAAAGGGTTGACGTAGAAGGTACGCTTATTCTTCGGCAAATGAATACTTTCCGTTCACATAAACATGATATGTACATCGAACTGAAAAATAAAGTAGCCTTGTCTTACGCGGACGACAAGCGTTACGTTATACCCGGTACAGAGTACACGCTTGCTTGGGATCATCGAGATTTAGAAAAGTATAAGGAATCATCGGAAATTCCTGAGGGTCAAGACTGATTGAGGTAGCTTTCTTAGCTTCAATCGCTTTTGGTAACGGTAGATAAGACGATGCTTGTAGAGGATTATAGTTTAGGATTTTTACACTAAGGAATGTATATTTATTTTTTTTTAATTCGTTATTTATAATATACATGTATTTAGTGATAGTTGTTTTTTTTTATGATATATTCTTACAAATAATTAGTTAAGTATGTATGTAAATTGAATTATGCTTTTTTTTTAAATAAAAACACTATTTTCTGTTTTACTCAGTTGTTGTTTTATTTCATTTTATAAACATATCTCATACAGGTTGTATTTATGTCTCAAAACTAACTCAAGATATTTTTCGTTCAAAGCCATCACTTCATTGGTTCGAAAATCAGCTACAATAATTCCTCTACTTTCTTCCTCCTGCCAATAGCTCACATAAATGTAATCACCAATGTAGAATTTAATATCACACTGGCCATCTTTATCGTTGATAGTTTCGAGAAAATATAGAAAGTCTCCAAACCCGTCATAGGTAAATTTTATTGCGGGTTCATTGCTGTGCTGTAAGATAACCTCATTTTTATCATCACTGTATTTAATTTGCACAATATTCTCGATGCTATATTCTTTATAAACTGGCTCGGAAGTAATTATTCCACTGGTTGCTGTTCCAGATTTTGAGGTTGATGCATTATCCCATTTCGAATCCATTTTTAGATTTTGGAAATTCCTAATTAGCAACTTCTTTTGCTCGTAAAATTCTATATCTTTTTTCAAGCTAGAAAGATTTTTCAGATAAATTTCGATTCTTTTAGCTACTATACAGCTCATGATCTGAAAATAGACTGAGCTTATTCAGTCAAATGTTCTGTAATTTATAGAAAACAAAAACGAGGTTTGTGAAAAAAAAATTATTGAGGTAAAAGATTTGTGACATAATTATATAATGCATAGACATTCTTAACACTACATGAACAAAAATTAATTCTATGGTTTTTACAATGTGTAAAGCTAGGATTTAACTTGGGAACTACTCCACCCAAATATTCTAAATTAACAATAATTGGAGGATCCACGTTCATTTCTGTGTATACTTTGATTAGAAAGTCTTTCTTGATGTGTCCTTTAACATAAACAGTTTCGATGCCTTTCAAATTATCCATGAGCAGTTGATTAAGTTGGTTATAGCTTACATAACCCGCACTGTAGGAGATGCCGTGAAGGTTGTGGAACACGTAGTTTACTTCTTTCTTTTGAGCGTGAGTCAAGTCGCGATATAATATTTTTGGTTTAAATATCCAACTATTGACCTGCTTTCCATCATAGATAGCTAATTCCTTAACTAGGAAATCAGCAGAAAAGTAGCCTTGAGCATCTAGTACCGCAAACTTCATCTTCAAATGCTCGACGGTGATTGATTAGATCAAGCTACGGACAATTCCTGATAAAGGCAAATACTCCAAAACTCTGTCATGTACAATGATGCAATAGGCTCGAGTATCTTTTGGGAAATTTTCAGAACTCTGAATCTCGAGCTTAACAGCGATTGTGCTACTTTTTAGAGCCTCATTCTGTTTCGAACAGTCTATTACAAACATGCATCGATTTGCAAATGAGGTAAAATCCAGTAACGGTTCAGCATAGGTCTTTCCCATATAAGATTTCTGGAATTCGGTGTACATGCGATACACTTCGGTATATTCCTGTTGTCAAAATTCAGGTTCAAAGATTCGTAGGGGTAAACTTCAGAGTTTAGGTATAGTTTAATATCAGTAATGTTGACATTATCGAAATATGTAACGTCTTTCTGATAGTTGTCTTTACGGTCAGTTTGGAAAAATACAATAACGTATCGTGCTTTCTCCGACATCGATTTCACAGTCCAAACATCTTTCTTCGTGTTTCTCATTGCAGGCAATTCATGAATTTCCCAATCACGGAACCCGAAAAAGATTGGTTTATTTTTGGAAATTTCCTCTAATAATTGCAGTTTTAAGACATCATTGGGATAAATATGTTTAACTCACAACTCAATCGTCGATATTGTTTTAGTAGCTTTTTTATTACCCGTAAGGTTTACGTAGCAATTGTCATCATTTCTAGCTCGAACAAGTTTTAGTTTCTGTTTTCCCATAACTGCACTAGTATAATCAGCGAAAACACCTAGTAGAAAATTCAACGGTATCAGTAAATTGAAGTCTTTTGTTGTTTCATTCAGAGTTTTGAGCGGTGTACTCCATCCTGCGGTGTCTAGTGCTTTGCTTTCCTGTTCATTAAAGCATAGCAAACTTTTTACTGTGCTTGTCGGTCCAGGGTCTCGAACTTTCTCAATTTCTTTGCCATTTAATTCATAAGCTATGGTCTCGAACAGAAAGGCTCCCACATTATTTGTCAACGAACATGTTCCAGTCATCCCACCACCCGCACCTGCCACCGTATTGTATTCCTTAA